CTGATATAAAAATAATTATAACAGAATTACAGAACTGCTTACTTGAGTCTATCAAACTAAGAAAAAAAAATGACTGATCAACGGTAAACATACACACATTACTATTGTGCCAAGCAGTTAGTTGAGCCTATAGTTTGCAATTCCTTAGAAGATCTCAAACAAGATCGAAACACGACCTTATGACTTTCGAAATTAATTTTTCGCCATCTCATGAATGATAGCAGTGACATATGAGAAAAAAGAGGAAATATTACCACTGTCTAGGTCGAATGAGCAATGCAGAGAGCGACGGAGAGCAACCGTTGTGATCGCCGGAGAGTTTGCCTTCAGCCTGTGTTCGTCGGTTGGGCAGATCGAGCGAGGTGGAGGAGAAAGTGGGAGAGATAAAAACAGACAATTCTTAAACGAACTTTAATTTTAATTTTAATTTTGCTGCGGTAAATGAACGGTCCAATCAAGATATTTTGGGTTTTCAATTTTTCCGCTTATCAAGAGAATCAATAAAGCGTTTTAGATTAGAGTTAGCATGGGAGCATTGATATTGTAAAATTTTTAATTTTTTAATATTTTAAAAATGTATAAAAATATTAATTTAATATTTTAATACATTTTTAAAATATTAAAAAATTAAAAATTTTAAAATTAAAGTATTAAAAATTATTATTAAATAAATGCTTAATAAATATTAACTCAATCAACTACTCCGGGAAATTATATTGCGGGTGTAGCAGATGGCCTAATTATTTTGGGCTTTATATTCAGTCTAATAAGATTTGTTAATGGGCCAACTGTGGGTGTGTTACCATTTTATTGGTCCAAAGGCCTGTAATTTGGATTTCTATTTGCCTACTGGCAGACGTGAATTATTTATTGGCAGAATATTGAATTATTCTAGCTTTAATCCCTAAATTAACGGAATCCATTAATTTTTCATTAAAGTGAGAATAAAAAATTATAAGGTCAATTCTTAAAAATTAAAAATGTAACAATTTCATTCTAAAAGTTTTAAAATTAAAAAAATAATAATAAATGACTTTTTCACATATACTATAATAGTATTTGATATTTATAATCAAATTGAGTGAGTGGCTTAATTTGAAAAAAAAAAATTCTAACTAAGATTAAAGAAAATTTTTAGTCTAAATTAAGATGAAAAATTCAAGAAACAAGAAAAATATGGTCAAGAAATTTTCTTTAATCTTAATCAACTTTCTTTCTTTAAATTGAACTAATCACTTAGTTTAATTGTAGATATCTAATACTATTTTCATGTATATGATAAAATCATTTATTAATTATTTTTAATTTTTAAACTTTTGAAACTAAATTATTATAATTTTAATTTTTGAAGATCGATTTTATAAATATTTTATTCTTACTTTAATAAAGAGTTAATGGATTTCGTTAATAGACAAAAAATTAATAAACAAAAGTTAAATGTTTGATTGTTAGGTAATTATAACTGTTAAAGATAATAAAAATATGGATGACATCCAATTAAGGGTGACATTAAAAAAAAAAGGTATAGTAGAGGGATGATATTTATGCTGTAAGGAAAGTAGAGGGATGAAATTGAATATTTCCTTAGTTGAGGGATGATAATAAACATTTTTACAAAGTATGAGGACTTGAGTTGACTTTAACGCGACTTACTCTTTCATTCATGGCCGCCCATCAGGACTTTTTCATTCACAGCCGCCCATAACAAACTTCATTATTCATTTATTATTTTTTTTGGTTTCTTGCTCGGTATCGAGGTTTTACTCCGATTAATCCGGATCTAACCCGCGTCGTGCACTTGAAAATTATGGGTGAATCTCCTAACGGAGGTTACTGAGTACACAAGGTCTCAAACTCAAAATCTTACTTACACTGGATCAAACCGCTTACCACTTAATCCAACCCCTCATTGATATTATTCATTATTCATTTATTATATGTTCTTACTATTGGCCCCAATTCCCGGGTGGTGTCATTGCCACAGCTTCACAGGTTAACACCACAGCTTTTTTAATTAATTGACCATTAATACACGCGGAGAAGGTGGTGACTGCTGCAAGTTGGATTCGAATGAGGAGTATAATAGTCAAATAATTAAAAAAAGCTGTGGTATTAACAGTAGTGGCTGTGGCAATAACACCACCCCCAATTCCCACGGTGATGACAACTACAAACGG